TGTTTTCCCAGTTGTTGTGACTTGTGCTGCATCGCTTTTTGGACAGCTTGCAGGCGATCCTGATATTTGATCTATCTCCTGGAAGGTTTACCAGCTTATTGGTTTTCCCGATGGATGTGTTAAGCATACCGGCTTGTCCCAAACGCTGCACTTCCAGTTGAAGATGAAATGCCTTACCGGCTGAGATTGAAAAATTGCAAATATAATTAACAAACGGCATTAACTTGAATTAAATAGAAACAACTAGGATTATTTAAATGAAAAAAAGTAGAAAACGAAATTAATAGATTTTCTTGAAATAAATATTATTTTTCTAGGAAAATGGATAAATTTTCCAGAAAATGGCTAACAGTCCCTCAGGTATGAGCAGGCAACGGATGAATTAGCTAGGACAGCATAGAAAGATCTGGCGTAATAGAGCTGACTGCGCAGCCACTTTTTAGTAATATCGGGGGCTTCACATCAGTATTAATCGTGTTATTTGGTATTTTGGTGTTTTTGCAGTTGAAAAAATTGGTATTCGTTTATTTGGTGCGATATGCGGAGGAGCAACAGGATTTGGCACTTCTTTCAATCAGCACATTTCAGCGTGCACTCAAAGTATGCAAATCTTTGTTCCTTTATTTGCATGTATGTATGTGTGTGTATGTATGTATGTATGTCTTTGTTCTTGCAAATTTATAGTTCCGAGCAAGTCCCTTTTTCATCTTTTATTGTAGCATATAGTCTTAAGTGTGATATTTCCAATCAGTCTTTCCTCTCCTCCTCACCCGCTTTTCACTTCCTCGCCTCCCCCCCGTCCCCGTACTCCCCGCTCCTCATAATGTGTGCTTGCTTTCAGGATCCGAATCAGCTTATTCGAGCCAGTGCTCTCCGAGTTTTGTCGAGCATACGCGTTCCGATGATTGCACCAATAATGCTGCTGGCGATACGGGAATCAGTCCGTGATATGTCTGCATATGTTAGAAAGGTTGGAGAAAAGCTCCAGCTCTGCTTGTTACTGCTTAAATACTTCAGTAACTTTATATCATCAACGTTCGTTGTCATGTCATCAATGCAGCTGGCAGTAATAGAATGAGAGAGAGCCATCCATAACGGCATTATTAATGGGGGGGAGGGGGGTTACTGTTGGCGCTTGCTACTACTCGAACTACTTTGCGTTTGCCTCCGGCCTTTCATGAAAAGTAAGTTGGCGAGGAGTTTTGAGTAGGGAATAATTTGGCTTCGGACAAAGATTTACTTGAATAATAAATTGCGGCCGAAAAGAGGGCCGGACGTAATTTTAAAACAACTGGACAGTCCAAAGAAATCAGAGTAATGGAACGGTCGAAGTCAGAAAGTTAAAACGAAGAATGGGATAAGTCTGTTAAAATGAAATTAAACTCTCCTACTTGTTTTAGCAGCAAATTTGCAGGTGGCCGCGCATGCAATACCAAAATTATATTCACTGGAGGAGAGTCTTCAGCCAGAACTCATTGAATGCATTGATTATCTTCTGGGCGATAAGCGCACATTGGTACTTGGAAGTGCAGTGTATGCGTTTGAAGAGACCTGTCCCGATCGATTTGATTTGCTTCATCGGCATTATCGGGCTCTGTGCAAGGTAAGATAGTATTGAGTTTGGTATGCTTCTGCTCTAGAACCTGAAACCGGCTCCTGGTGGGATTCGAGGCCCAGCGAGAGACATTTGCATACAGTACATGTGGATCATAAGGCAGCTTGAGATAATAACAATGGGGAGGGGTTGGCTTCGTTCATTCCCTTTGCTAATGTCTAGCATTTTTGCTT